TCCTTTTGTAGAAGACACAGCATGAAGATCAGGAAGCAACTGTTTTGTTATTGAGGCCAATATGTCTTTCTGTTCCAAGGGCACCATATTCTCAGGGACTTGTTCTTACCCAAAAGAACAGTGCCATATTTGTGAGCAATAAAGTATGCCGCACAAACAAAACTCCAACAATGCTAGGGCTCCAAAATAACATCAAAACAACATACTGCACAGAAGAGAGGCACTGAGAGCTCTTCAAGCATGCCCCTCATTCCTGCGTGGGTGAGGTCTGCTCTCGTTGGTGGCTTATTGAGTTAGTGATCGAGCATGCAACTTGAACACTATTAGTTAATGGCTGTTGGGAATGTGTGTACATCGCCTAACTTCCCATTTCAATTTTTTTTTTTACTACATTTTGAGTATACATCCTCCTGTTCATCAGCTTGATAAAATACATACAAATATATCCCATGATTGCACAAGAGACTGCAATGTACTACTAGGTGACACAGATACACACAAATACACACATGCAAACATAGAATATATAAATCACAGCCATAGAATACCCTAAATCTGACCCCTCCTGAAAGTTACATGCATACAGGTGAAACATTTAACTGGAGATTCAGCGTGTGATTCAAGAGCTGTGATGGGTTAATGTTTCACAGTTTTCTTGATAAATTTCCCATAATGGCAAGAAGGAACGGATCTACCTTGAATATGCTCTAAACTCAGCCTATGAGAAGCTATTAAATCAGAGTCTTGACTTGCCAGGGTAGCTTGTGTCTGAATGTTTTGCTTCCTTGTCAGTTTCACAAAGGTGGGCCCCCCAACACCCCCATTTGAAGGGATGGGAAAGACAAAGTAATCTTTGGCTTGAGACTAATCCAAAGAGCTGAGAATGAAGATACCAACTAGAATTATCCCTGCCAATAGACCATAGTATGGAGTCAAAGACAGTATTAGGGTCAACCTGCTCCAAGTATTTCTAAAATTTGCTTATTATCTTTCTTGTAAGGGCTTCATCATCAATAACAAATTGACTTCAATTCTCATTGCATTATACATATACATTTCCAAAAAACCTAGGGAAAGAGTGCAAAGTAATCTCAAAAAGAAAAAGTGAAATTTTACCTGAATTCCAACTTTAAAATTAGATTTACATTTTTACCCTATTAACACACTTTTGAGATTGAAATAAACCTCTATGACAGGAAAGTGCATAAAATTCTACATGTGTTGAAATTGATTTATAGTATTTCCGATACAATACCAGATAGAAATAAACCATCCCGTGGATTGTGCTGCAGTCCGAAGTGCTGCCTGTATGTCACAACTGGCTGAGAGTTACTAAATGAAATTACATAATGAAAGAAAAAAGAAGCACACAAGTGGAAACTGGCCCCTAAAAGATTTGTGGTTTTGTCCAAATGACACCACAGAATAAATTTTTCTGTTTAACCAAAGAACGATTCCAAGGCACATAAGCCATTGAAATGGAGTATAGCACCCCTGGATTATTTATTTATTTTAATTAGGTTTATATGAAAGCAGAATACATTTTCATTCATTGTCTACAATTGCAGCACATCTTTTCATTTCTCTTATTGTACACGATGTAGCGATGCACCATATGCACAGTCATACATGTACCTAGGATAATGATGTCCATCTCATTCCACCATCTTTCCTGGCCCCAGTCACATGTGGTTATGTAGATGTAAGTTAATTAAAATTTAGTGCTTACTAAAATTCAATTCTTCAGTTGACTAGCCCCATTCCAGGCACTCAGTAGGCCTGTCTATCCAGCTGCTGCCATACTGGAACCTAGAAATTTGGAATCTCCCTCAGGCCTTGAGGTTGTTCAGATATCTCCCCGTGAGACTGGCATCCTGGGAAAGCTCTTTGATTGATGTTGACTTTTTAGACAAATAGATTCAGGAGGCTTTTTTAGGGTTCTGTTTTAGTGCCGAAGTGAAAACTGCTGCTTACTCTCTTAAAGATATGTAACATTTTATTGTTTTTATGATGTAAAAAAAATTATTGGAAGAATTTCACCAAGATCACACAATATGTAAAAGTGTTTTGCAATGGCCTCCATCACTTGTCAAAATATCTGGATCTAGTGTGGCGCTTCTCAACTCTTCTACAAATTTGGGGATGATACAAGGAAACTTTGGAAACAACAATATTCAGCAGGGTTTTAAGACTCTAAGATTAGAAATTCCAACAGATTAAAAGAAAAATAATTTTTTCTGTGAATGTATTCAAGGTTTTCCTGGAGCACAGATATTCTAATATTGAAATATCATGATAAATGCTGACTTAGTAATGTTTTAATTTACATTACTGTTAGTGTTTATTTTGTTCATAATTATGCTATTTGGTAGTAGCATCATTAGTGCAGTATAAAGTAGTTATTAATGTTATATATCCAAGATACTGCAAAAAGTGTTTGCTTTGTTATAAGCAGGGACTTCTCCTTGATCCCTTTGTGTTCTTTTATCCTCCTGTAGGAAGGTCTTTCAGAAATTCCTGTTGGAGGCTTTTCTGTCGCTTGCCAGCTAGGTTCTGCATGGTTGAATGTTGCTGAGGACCCTCAATAGGGAACCCCAGTAGAGCTTTAGAAGGAAAAGCACTGTAGCTTTAGTGGAACTTTTCAGACCAGCAGCGTCTCCCTTCTGTGGGATATTGTTAGAAGTGTAGACCTTCTGGGCCCACTCCAGACCCTCTGAATCAGAATCTCTTCTCTCAGTGGTTTCAAACTTTGTTGATCACAGTAATTACCTGGAGAGCCTGTTAAAGCACAAATCCCTGGCGCTTCCCCTGAGTTTTTGCCCAATTCAAAGTATGGTGATGCCTCTGTGGATTAGGCGCCTCCCTTTGAAAACCACTGCTCCAGGGAGAACTAGTTCATATTTGGAATCACCTGGAGAGCTTCCCAAAAGTGTGATGCTTGGGATTCTGAGTTGAATGGCCAGGGCAAGTCATAGGTATTGGTACATAAATATATATATTTTTTTGTATTAACTCCCCTGACAATCATAATAGGCAGCCAGGTTTGAGAAGCCCCATCTATATATTTCATGCTCAGAAGTTCTACTGGGAGAGAAGCTCTGAGCTTCTCCAGGTAATGCTGAACCCTTTCCCTGGGGCTAGGGGGAGCACAGGAGTTCTGCACAGATTGTGCGCCAACCTCTACACATAAAATCCCTGATTGCAAAAGGCCTGGGACCAGCCTTATAAACCACTTTTTCATTCATTTCACAAATATTCCCGGATTCTCTGCCATGAATCAGGCCCTGTTCTGGTTGCTGGAGACACTTCCATTTTACTTCCACTCCTACTGTTAAGCTCAAAATAGTTGTATGGAATAATGCATTTATGAGAAAATATTTAATGATCCTATATAAGTAAATACATATAAACACATACATACACCCACATGTTGTAAAAAGAATGTCTTTCAACAACAGGTTCATCTCTCACTTTACAATGGTCTTAACAGAGGATTTCGATGTTGCTCAATTAACTCCTCAATCTTCAATTGTATCTGACATCCCAGATACAATTTGGGAAACTGTGTATGTAGGAATGAAAGTGCCCAGCATATCACTTGCCAGTTGTTATCCCCAAAGGGTGGACAGCTTAATTGAAACTTTTAAGGGACAGCATCTGCTCATCTGTCCCCCTTTCCTCAGCTCACAGCTCTCTCCTCCCCACCCAAGCCACACTTCTCATTGCAAACCTTCCTTCACAGCTTCCCTCTCACTCTTTGTATCATCTTACCCCCTTTCAACACCAGTGGACTCCCAAAAGCGCCCTGCTCCCCTGGGGAAAGCCTCCTGCCCAGAAGTAGTCCACAATGCAGTGTTTTCATTCGAATGCAAATTTGTCTCTGGACCAGATTCAAGGAAAGTGCTTTCCCCTCCAACTGTCTTCCCAGCTCCACCCCAGCCCTTGTGGTCTTTTGTGTTGTTGTAAATAAATGAGAGGCAACTGGCTTTCAGTTGGAAGGCACAGCTGCAGGGGGGCTCTTAAAAGGAGCTAGATGCTGGAAGATTTGGAGCCCAGTGTTAGAATCTAGAAAAGGGAGGCTTTTGAGGCTTTTCCTTTGCAATTGCTGTGACTTGTCTAGAATTTTTTTTTCTTTTCTAAATACTGAAAAACTAAGCATATTTCTCTAGCTCTATATTTTTGCTCCTCCTGTAACTTTTCTTGTCTTAAAAAAAGAAGAATCCATTCAACAGTAGCAGCAGAATAAATCCTAAGTATGTTTATTCTTGATGTCTTCCAGATAAGTATGCAACTTGGCCAATTTTGGAGGTTGAAAGTGTATCCTAAGATGATGGGGGTGGGGGCGATATTTAATGCCTGAATTCCTCAGTAGAAATAACAGATTGGGAGTGCATTCAGGGCGATCACGATTGCCCTGTTGAGTGGCCTTTGAAAACCGTTATGTGGCTTATGCCATGCCTCTTACTCCGGAAGCACCCCCAAATGTAAGCAGACACATGTCTCCTTAGCCAGACGTGACTCCCACCCTCCCGTCAGCAGGCCTTTGCTAGCTGGTGTCTTTCTGCTGGGAAAGGAACCTGCTTGGGAAGATTAGGGGGCGTGAGTTCGCATCTCAGTGCGGGCGCA